GAACCCTGACCTCTGTGGGCATTGCACAACATGGGTTCACTTACCCACATGCAGGCAATACACACATACACATAAAATAAATATTTTTTTTAAAAAAAAGGTATTTGAGCCAGGCATGGTGGCGGACACCTTTAATCCCAGCACTCAGGAGGCAGAGGCAGGCGGATCTCTGAGAGCTGTCCATTTCCCCAGTTCTAGTCTGGGATCTTTTCTGATTGTGTTTGCATAGGTGTTGTAAAAGCTAAGGGTGATGCATGACCATAAAGAAAAAAAAAAAAAAAAAAAAAAAGGAAAAGAAAAAAAAGGTATTTGTCCATTGCACAAACATTTACTGATATTCTGCTTTGTTCCATGCATGGCCGTGGATGCTGGAGCTGCAGCCATAGACAGCATAGAAGAGTGCCCTCTCTCCTGGGCCTCTCTATTCATCGTGACTCTATAGCAGTGGAGACGCTGGGTTGGCTAGCTTTGCCCATTTTAGCTCCCCACCTGGCCCTCTGGACATTCAAGAAGCGCCTGCCTTTGCATCCAGAGTCACCTGTGAAAACTTGACATTCTCTGCTGAGTAGTCACTGGATGCCTGTCAAGGGCTCAAGAAATACTGTGGAATAAGTAAACCAAGTGTTGCTGTCTCCCAAACAGACCACCAAAGCTGCTTCACTGCTAAGGACAAGCACATAGTAGGTCCTTACATAATGTTAGTTGAAGGGCAGAGTCCAAGATCAGCATGGATGGTGGACAAGGGAAATGTGAGCTGTGATAGAGCTCCAGGAAAGGAAGGGGACAGAGCAAACCGTAACACCACCTAAAAAGGCTCACATCACCTTCCCAGCAACCGTTTGAGGTGGTGATAGGATTCTCCAGAAACAGAGAGGAAAGGCCCTTGGCTAAGCTCAGGCTACTTCCCCCTCAGTAAGGAGGAGGTTGGTGTCTACAGTTCTGTCCCCAAATTGTACTTTCCCCTCACCTGCCCAAGGAGCTTCACAAAAATCCTGGGGAAATGGGCTGGAGAGATGGCTCAGCAATTAAGAACACTGGTTGTTCTTGCAGAAGACCTGGGTTTGAATCCCAGCACCCACATGGCAGCTAACAACTGTCTGTAACTCCAGTTCCAGGGGATCCAACAGCCTCTTCTGTCCTCCGCAGGCATTGCTTGACACGGGTGCACTTACCTACATGCAGGCAATACATGTATACACATAACATAAAAATAATAAAATAAAAAATAATTTTTTTTTTCTTTTTGAAGCAGGGTTTTCCTGTAGCCCCAGCTGTCCTGGAACTCACTATGTAGACCAAGTTGGCCTTGAACTCACAGAGATCTGCCTGCCTCTGCCTCCCAAGTGCTGGGACTACAGGCGCACGCCACTACGCCTCGCTAAAATATTTAAAAAAAAATTTTTTAATCCTGGGGAAATGTATGGGGTCTTTAAGTGTTTCCACTTTTGAAAATGTTCCTGTAACTGGATACCTGAGAGTCCATTAACCACTTTCTCTCTCACACATTGTGTGTATGTGTGTGTGCGCGTGTGTGTGCATACACCCTGCCAGGGTGCACCAGTTGCATGGTGTGGAGACCTGAAGACAACTTCGGGAGTTGGTTTTCTCCTTCCACCATATGGGTCTCGGACTTGAACTCAGGTCCTCAGGCTTGGTGGCAAGCACCTTTACCGGCTGAGCCATCTCCACAGCTCCACTTCTTTTGATTCCTGATTTTTTTTTCCCCGTCTTTTTTAGACAGGATCTTCCAATGAAGTCCAGGCTGGCCTCTAACTCCGTTTTCCCGCCTCAGCCTCCCATGTGCTGGGATCACAAACATGCACCATCTCGACCTGTGACTCCTGACTTTTGAACTGTGTGAATTCATTATCAGACTAATTTCCTCAACAATCTGTTCCAGCAAACATTTAATGCTGTGTGAGAAAGTACTGAGGTCCGGAGCTGTTAGCAGCAGCTCCTATCCCTGCCTTTAATAGGTCAGCTAGTAAAAGAAACCCTGCCACGGCCAAAGTGTCACAGTGAAATGGCTCTCGGAGGCCACCGGGCAGGGCGATGGGGGATGGGGCAACCCTCCAACAGGGTCCGTTTAGGAATACTGGACGGATGAGGAGGGCCGTGGTCCCAGGATGAACTCCCACCCAGGGAAGACCGCGGCTGCGGTAGGCCAGAGAGGACTGGGCCGGACCCCAACTGGGTCCTCACCATCAATCAGGTCTTTTCCAGACTTGGGATAACTGAAGTGCGGCTGGCTGTTTATGACCAAGAGAGTTTGGGTGAAGCTGTCCTCCCACGGACCAAGGCGCTGGCTGTGATCCGGGTGGACTCGGCGCAGCTTATCCGCTCCAATGGAGGGCTGGCTCGCGCCTGGTCGTCCCGGGGTGCGCCCTCTCCCACATGCTCCCGCGGCCCCGCGCGCCTCCCTGCGCGAAGCTGACGCCTAGCAGATACCTCTGGGCTGAACCATGAATTGCTCAGCCCGGCCTTTGGGATCCCGGGCCGCCTGGGTGCGAGCCCGGTTCAACCAGTGAGGCCCGGGCCGCGGGTTCCCGCCCGTTCCCGCCCGGCAGCTCTGCACCTCCCCGGGCGCCCCGGGCGTGCCGGGATGCGCCAGGTCCAGTTGGGCGAGTTGCATTTCATCACCCGCGGAGCGTGCGAGCGCCGGTGCACATAACGTTGCCCTTCCCGGGCCTCCGCGTCCCGGCTGGCTCCGAAACTCCGGTTTGCAAACGTTAGCACTAGGGGCTGGGAAGGTCCCGGGCGGGGTCGGGCGGGCTCCGCAGCCGGGGCTGCTGGGAACACAGCCGCTGGGACCCGCGCCCGCCTACGCTAGGCTGTTCCGCCCGGCCGGGAGGCCACCTCACCAGCAGCGGAATGGGAACCGGTTCGACAGGTAGCAAATAGGTGGGTTGTCACCGTTATTTCCCAACGCATGCGCCATCGCTCTCCCGGCCACTCCAAGCTAATTAGATCAGATCAACACCCCCACCCCCCCGCCCCAGCCACC